ACACACATTTGTTACTCTTATGCTTCAGCTTATTAAGCATGTCGTCATATCACCTCTGTGGCAACCCTCTCACGTATCCTTAATCGGTGTATCGATAATTGCATATAATAAAAAGTAATTCTACATGAAGAAAAAAATAATATTAGTACTTTTCATGTTAAATTAACATTTTAAATGAAATATAAGCAATAGTTAATATGTTACCTTAAACTCATTAAAGTAGAAGTGTTTCGTCTTAATGGAGACAAACTTTCACGTGAAACCGACGATGTCCAACTCGCTTTTGAAAATTGTAGTGATTTTTTTGGAGCATTTACTTGATAGAACCAAAATGTTGAACAAAACAAATAAATAATAAATAAGTGATCAATTGATGATTCTAATATAATATATGAAAAAATAAAACTAATTATCGTATGTAAAATATATTACTTATCATTTATTCATAACACAAATGGTCCGTCCATCATCGGATCTAGTAGAGCTTCTTAAGGATGAGAAAACCATAGTAAGAGCATTTACAATATGAGGCATTATCGGTAAGGGCATAACCGGCAAGGGCACTACTAGAGGGAATGCGGACGTCCTAACACCACTATCAATTCCACGACTACGGACAATTGCACTAGTAGTGCTACGTCAATGTACACCACCACTATTAATCAAACGGTCAACATTAGAGCTATAACCATTGACACCGTGAACAAATTCACTTAATCCACGAGGCATGACTCAAGAATAACACATGAAAAAGTTTAATAAATGAATAAAAATTCGACTGAAAATATATTATAAATTATTATGAATTAAAATAAATAAAAATCTATAAATTTAATATTCCTTTGTTATCGAAAACGCCACCAACACAAAATTCAACATGTTTAAAATGCACAACCAACAACGAAAAAATGCATAATATACAAAATGATATAATTTAATAAATACAACAAATAAAATTGATCTACAATTACAAAGAAAGTTATAATTCAACAAATTAAACATAATTAACTCGAATTAATTGATTGAATATAAATCAAATGAACTAATTAATTATAATTCTAACCTAATTAAGTTTAAAATAACAATAAATTAATAAGTTTTAATATAAATGAAATTATAATTCAATCAAATAAACATAATTAACCTAATTAATTAATTTAATCTAAATCAAATTAACTTAATTAATTTAATTCTAACCAAATTAAATTTAAAATAACAATAAATTACAAGTTTTAATATAAATAAAGTTATAAATCAACCAATTAAACATAGTTAACCTAATTAATTAATTAAACATAAATCAAATTAACTTAATTAATTCTAATTCTAACCAAATTAAATTTAAAATAATAATAAATTAACAAGTTTTGATATAAACAAAGTTATAATTCAGCCAATTAAAAATAATTAACCAAATTAATTAAATAAAAATCAAATTAACTTAAATAATTATAATTTAAACTAAATTAAATTTAAAATAACAATAAATTAACAAGTTTTAATATAAATAAAGTTATAATTCAACCAATTGAATTAAACTTGGCTTGCAATCATCATTTTCTTTCTATCTCATTCCCAACTTGTAATTGATTTGAATGGCACAAATCTTTCTTTGATACAAAAACTCTTTGCTCATCCTCCTCGATTCTCCATATCCTTCCTACCCAAACATCAAAATTCCTTCTAGTCTCATTATTACATCTTTTACTAGCTTGCCTTCTTAAAGGCATATTTGACTCCTCATAACTCACATTTTTTCCCCTAGACACTAAAATCAAACGTTCTCTAGCTTCCTCGTCATCTACTGCCTTGGAAGAACCGACACCGAAGCTCCTTTGGATGCTCGCAAATTGTGGAACCTACCCCGCAATTACCGATCTTGCAAGAACAATCCCCTTTGCACTTCATGTTATAATCTTTAACCTAATTAATTGACTAAACATAAATAAAATGAATTTAATTAATTTAAAAGTCAATTTTGATTAAATTTAAATTATAATTAATTAATAAATTAACTTAATAATTAACAAAATTTAATAAATTAATCAATAAATTAACCTAACAATTAACAAAAATTAACAATTTAACAAACAAGTCAACAAAATAATAATTAAATATATACATAATTATAAATGAAGAAATTAAACTTAAAATTAACCTAATAATTACAATAAATTACTAAATTTAATTAAGAAAATAAAAGAGAGAAAAAACTTACCTAATTCAAGTGAAATTACACCGAGGAGGAGAGAAGGAAAAACAAGGATTTTTTGAAAGAAAAGAGCTTCGAGAGGGTGTGGATTGATTGAAAAGGAGGAGTGAAGTTTGGTGGTGGTTTGGAGGGGGATTGGCGGTTGCTAGCTAGAGAAGAAGAGGAAGGAGAAAATGGGAGAGGAGAAAGAATAAGGAGGTTTAATTAGGGATTGAAAAATAGCGACAAACGCGATCTCCTTGCTGATACGTCCTAATTTAGTGACGGACATAAGTATCCATCACAATCTGTCTCAAAATGAGCGAGCTAATTTATTATAGTTGGTCGTCCATTTTTTACATATAACGATGAATTTAAGTTTCCATCATTACTCCATCATTAATTGAGAGGTTTTGACTTTCAAAAATTCCAATTTTTTACCTTTAGCGATGGACTTTTCCGTCACTAAATCACAAGGGATGTTTCTTTTACCGACGTAATTTTTGTTCTTAAATCCAAACATTGAAAATAGCGACGGATTAGTAATTCCATCACTATTTTTTCTAACAAATCCGATGTTGACCGATCTATAAAATTTCTAAGAAAATTTTATTGTCAAATTTAGCAATAGATTAGTGTTCGTCGCTAATCCATCACTCGGTTCCAACATATGCTATTCCGTCATTATTTAGCTACATAAGTTTATCCGTCACTAATTTTTGTCGCTATTTGACAATTTTTTTTGTAGTGTTAGGAGGGTGATAAATAGAGGAAAAAAATAAAATAACGGAACTTATATAGTATAAAGTTAGATAGTTGAGATTGAGTTCCATCCAAAAAACTTAAGCCTTGTGGTGAGTGGCCCCTTCTCAACTTTCTATATTATTTATTATTAGTTTAACTATTCAATGTGGGATATGTTCTAACACTCCTCCTCATTTGTAGCCCACCTTTTAGGGTATGTCAAGTGGCTTGGGCTCTAGAATCTTTGTTGGGAGCCTCTTTGAGGCTTTGATACTATATAGAGTTAGATAATTGATATTGGGTGTCATCCAAAAAACTTAAGCCTTATGGTGAGTGGCTCATTCTCGGCTTAGCTTTATATATTATTTATTATTGGTTTAACTATTCAATGTGAGATATGTTCTAACACTTCTTCTATAGCCCATCTTTTTGGGGACTTGTCAAGTGACTTAGGCTCCGGGATCTTTCTTGAGTCGTTGGGCCTCTTTGAGGCTCGATACCATATAGAGTTAGATAGTTGAGATTGAGTTCCATCCAAAAGACTTAAGCCTTATGGTGGGTGACTCATTCTCAACTTTATATATTATTTATTATTAGTTTAACTATTCAATGTGGGATATATTCTAACATATAAAATAAATGGCATTTTTCAAAGGAGATATTATTCAAGTTATTTTCATATACTTGTAGTCCATGAGCGTACATGGATATGAGAACATAAAAGGTATATAATTTTGCTCTAAATAAATAAATATGAATTAACATTGCACACTAATATCGATTACGATTCTCAAAAAAAAAAAAAAAAAAAAAGGGATAAATAAAAGATTATGTAAAAATCATCCTTTAAAAGAAGAACCATTATTCCTCATGAAAAAAGAAAGCCCAATTCACTTTGATCCATTGGATGAATGGAACCCACCACATGGATGGGTTATCGCACTCATCCATGGATGAAAGCATTTAAAAAAATCAAGTTCTTCCTCCCCACTGATGATAATAATAATAATAATAATAATACACTATCTTCTTCTTCTTCTTTTTTGAACGACAAATGAATAAAACACTATCCATGTCGAATGCTCAAAAGCTCATTACATATCATTTTTTTTTTCTAAAATAACGAAGTTTCGCTCAACATGCAAGGTATTTGATTGTGAATGGAGTTGACAAAGCCTGTCAGAATAAAAGTTCTCCTCGCATCATGGGTTAGTAGCCAATAAAAACAAGGGGAAAAAAATAATTCAAACGTTAATGTCACACTCAGCTTTGGCTTCAAGCTTCATTTTCTTTTTAGTAGTGTTTAAGCTTCATCTTTAATCAAATCGGTAGATTTTAAACAAATCTGCCTTGTAAACTAAAATTGATTACTAGCATAATTAATAAAAAAAATAATATGATAAACGGATCAATTTATTCTTATATAATAACTCAAGTTTCATTCTATCACTATGTTTTTAATTATATATACTATATTACTAAATAATATTTAAGTCTCAAATATGTTTTTTCCATCAATTTTTCAACTATAAACAAAATTGTGACTAAAATATCTTTGATTGAAAAAAAAAAACCGAAAACTTAAAAATGGAACAAGTGGAGTGACTTTAATTATTTGTTATTTATTTATTTATTGTATTTCAATTAGGAGTATTTTAATAAAAATATACTCATAATTAAATAAATTGATCGAAATAATAAATTGAAGAATTAAATATTATTAAAAAATATAATAGATATAATTAAAAATATAGTAGATTGAAAATTTAGACTATCATAAAATGAAAGATTAAGCTATTTACCCCAAACAATATATAAAGTAGAATAAAAAAAACATAAAAATCAATAAATTACAATCCATAATCTAAGTTTCTTCTTCAATATTTTGAACATTAACATGAGATATATTCTTTCCTTTCCTATTTTTTTCCTGCCTAAAACTTTGACAATACTTTCTTTCCTAGAAACAAACATACCCTAACATATCCACCAAATTTAAAAACCTTTGGCCTCCAACAAAACCTAAAAAAAAAAAAGTAAAAAAAAAAAAAAAAAAAATTGCACTTCACTTTGAACGAATGGGCTCTTCCTCTATAGTCTCCAACAATGGCTTCTTTGACCTTGACATTGACATCCTATGGATAAACTCAGGAGAAGAAACCTCTTCAATTCCCTCCAAACTCAACCTTGGTGCTGCATCAACATCATTTCTTTCCATATCTTGTGAAATCTCCATCGTAGATTCCGGCAAGACCCTAATGTTCCCTTTAGAAGCTCTTTTCAAAACCGAGTTGGCAGTGACGAATAAAGAACCCAGGTCACCAGCAGTGACTACAGAGTTCTTTTTATGCATTGGAAACATGACATACACGTTGGCCTTTCCAAGCTCATCATCTGCATGGAGAGGACAAAACCTTCTACCTATTTTGAGAGTCTTGCAGTTAACGATGAAGAAGTTTGGTGCCTCCAACATGAGCTCCGCTGCTTTTGTGGGTTGCCGGATTTTCTTGATTTCTCCCGTTGGCAGGATCACTTTTGTGGATTTTGATGAGTTCATGAGCACTTGTGGGTTTGAGAGTGTGCAAGAAACGTAGTTTCCCATCTAGAAGGTTAAACAAGATGATAAAAAGGACAGAGATTCAAGAATTCAATTAGATACTAATTTAAAGAAAGTTTTTGAGCACTATCAAATGGACAATAAACGCACTACCTCCCTATTTAAGAGTGAAGATTTTGAGACAGACGAAGTTTGAAGAAGTAAGAAAATGGGTTTCGAGAATTTGAAGAAGTAAATAGATTGAGACGGGTTGGAGGAGGAAAATGTCTTCGGGAGGGCAGGAAAACTCAAGAAGATGGTTGATTCACGGACGTTTGACACATTTATATAGGGCAAAAGAAAAGTCTAACATGATCCCCAAAAAAACAGCAAAGAGACGATACAGTGGAAGATTCTAAGGACAGTTGTGTGCATAGGTTGACATTGTATAATAGATAACGCGTTGGAGAAAGGAATTAAGGAAGGAAATAACCTACAGCCTAAAATAAATATTTGATAGGGAGGTGATCCAAGAATTTTCTTTTCTTTTCTTTTCTTTTGTGGGGTATCCTTTATTCCTATCTATGCTGTACATTAATACGTGTTGAACAGGATCGAATATTTTTATTTTAATATTCCACAACAGTGGAGAGTTTCAGTTACTCTGCCAAAATATTTACTAAGCAAATATTTGTTCTGGAAACAAATCAAATCAAGGGACAAAAAAATCAAAGGAGGATCAATCAATCATTAAAATTGAGCATATGAAGAACAAGGAATTATCAAAGCAGGATGAGTTGAAGAAATTTAACGAAGAAATGGAGCACATCAAGGAGAAATATTAGGGAGAAATTGATTCAGGGATATCATTCTTTTACTTATAATTAATTAATTGGGATATCATTTTATTTGAAGGATTTTGAGACCAAAATTGTTGGCCAAAATTATTCTAACTTTCTATGATTCATGATACAGGAAGAAAATAAAATAAATTATCATGATTCATTCTCTAAGCACAAGAAATTACTTCGTTGTTTATATATATATATATATATATATATATATGAGAAATATTAATTAATTCATCTTAAACTATAAGTTTAATATATGCTCGCTCCGTTTTGTGCGTTCAATCGAATAATAAGATATTAATTTAAAATTTTTAATTTGAAATATTCTGAAGATAAAAATTAAAAAAAAAAACTACAAGTTCAATACATAAATAGATATAATTTAATGATTCTACGAAGTAGGTTTATGTTTTATATAATGAGAAATGACTATCTTTATTACGTAATTTAAAATTTACAGATTTTCTGATAAAAAAACAACTACAAGCTCAATGATAATTTTTTCTTTAAATAGCTATGGTCTAACTACTCAAGATTTGCATTTACCCAAAAAAAAAAAAAAAAAAAAGGGAAATGAAATAGAAACAGAAATATTTACTATGTGACACCCACTTTCCTTGCGTTTTCCATTTTTTTTTGTCAAAGTGGTGACACCCTCCATCTTTTTGGATCAGAAGTCAGCTTTGCTTAACGTTTGAGGCTAATTATATACAATTATCTCCACAACAACAAGTTAGTGTGCATGTCATTGTCGGTGTTGGTTACCCTTGTGGTCATACTCCACCCCAGAAATGCCGCTCATCATCATATGCAAAAGAAGGGACAGTTGCTACCATTTCAAGTAGCCTTTAGTTAATTTTATTTTTCTTCATGATCGGCTTGCCTTTCACATTCCTCATGCCTCTTAGATACCATTAACTATTATTATTATTGTTATTATACCACATTATTATATATGTTCGCTTCTAAGTTTGAATTTTATTAACAAAATTAATTTTTTAAATATATCAAACCGATGTAAAATATGCTTTCTTAAAAGCTAGCATTTATAAAAATACTTAATTTCGATTTACACATAAAATATGCTTATGTAACACCTCGTTAGCCTTTGTCATGGATTACATCTCATTCTTGCTTGAATGCACTCACTAACCACCACGAAAATTGTTTTATGATTTTTTTTTTTTAATATCATGTTCACATACTATCGTTCCGCACCCCCATCAATAGAGTAAATTATAAATTAGTCCTTATTGTTTCAAAAAATGAATTAATTAATTTTTTAGTTTCAAAAACTAATCATTTTTTGCTATTTTTTTAATTTATTTTGATTTTTGTTTTAAGAAATATAAAAAAGGAAAAAAAGAAAAGAAAATGAGATATTTTATAAAATAAAAAATATTAAATTAATCGTGACTAACACTTGTTAAAATGATTAAATAATTATTTTTTCAAACTATAGGAATTAATTAATCTATTTCTCCAAATAAGAGGGACTAATTTATAATTTACTGCCATCAATATGGTACCATTTATTTAATTTAAGCTAGCAGATCCCATGTTACAAGATGAATCACTGTTATCAAAGCCTGGGGATAATGGGAGACTAGAATTTTGTAATTAGATCAGGACAATGTGTTGGCCACTAAATAATGATTTTTAATAGCGTTGCAAAAGTTTTAAAGGCCTTTTTTTCTTTTTTTTTTTGAATAAAAAATTGATATTAATTATTAGTACAGTTTATAGTGCTTATAGTGTTATTGCTGGTATACGAAGTTTTGAGAAAGATGTGAAAATTCCAACTTTTAACAATTAATCCTGATTTATGTTTTTGGACCACATGACCACTAGATATGCTTCTATTATCCGTTGAAATTTATTATGTACATATGAACCATACCGATAATTCTTCGTATATGTTACTTGTATCCTCTATTGTTACGATATTTTTAAAATTATTTTACATGTTAATCGAAATTAATTTTTATTTTTTTTGATAATTTTGAAAATGTATATGTCATATCAATTTGATGCATGCATTTACGAAAACAAATTCTAAAACATAATTCAATATTAGTTTGAATTAAAAAAAAAAACAAACCTTTTTAACCAACAGATTTACTCTTCGTCATTTCACATTTATCATTTATACTAATTGACAGCTGAATTAATGGCTAATGGAAACATGGAATCCACACAGAGAAGATTCACGATGTCACAAACTTCTATTTGATGATTTGATAGACGAGGTTCATGATGAGAAAACCTGTTCATCGCTTGCTTTTTTCTTTTTCGGGGTTTTCACTCTTCTTTCGGCTATTTTCATTTCAGGGCACCCTATGTTAGATTATAAATAGACAAGCTATCGGAGGATAAAAATGAAGTTTGAGCAGCTATCATTAATTCTTGAAGCTCAACGAATATGTGGTTGGCTTGGGTTGCTTTCACTATACTTGAGGCAAAATATTTGGTTTTGGACTCTATGCCCAAGATTTAAGGCTGAAAAAGATTTTATTTGTTGAGTAATCTACACTCCATAAAGAGAGAACAAACACAACCGATTCTCCTAAATTTTAATTACCTTACTTCAGGTAAAGGGTTAGCCCTTGACGCCCATGACGTAGCCGTTTGTTTCTATAGGGAAAAAGGGCTTTAGCAGCTCGATTCTCCTAAAATATGAATATTTCATCAAATAAACCTACTAAAACATTCATTAGAACTCAGCACAAATTGCTTTACGGTAGAAAAAATCACTGAGGTGAGGTTGACGCTAGCTCCTGAGTCCTGAGGTTTCCAAAAAAGGTTGAGAAATGGCAGAAATTTTATATTATTATAGAAATAACTAGCCCAATTCTCACACGTTGCCATGAATAAGTTCGTTTTGATAAATAAAAAATATATACAATTAATTAATTATTTTTAAAAATTAAATTAGAAAGAGGAGCTTAATCAATTTATATTAGAAGAATATTTAATTTTAGTTAATAAATATTTATAAAAATAGAAAAAGTAACCATTAATTATGAAAAAAATTTATTTTGATTAAATAATAAATAATGAAAAAAATAAAAGCATAAAAAAATAAAAAATAAAAAATGGCTGGGTTAGGTGACACCCAAGCTCTTTAGTATGGGCCTACGAGAAAACCGGACCCATGCGGCTTGAAACCCAATCCGATAAAAAAATTATAGAAACCTTTTTGTAATATTAATTAACATGAGGGATTGTTTTATATAAATTAAAAATTTAAAGGATCAAAGTATAAAAAATGAAAAATTGACCAAAAAAATACTTATTTTTTTAGAAATATTACCTCGATTTGAGTTTAAAAGACTAAAAATGACACTTCATTCTCTTTTAGCATATAGTATAATTATCTATATTTATTTTTTCCTTAAAAATTAAATTTTAACATAATTATCTGATTTGGGAAAAAAGTAGAGTATGGAGTTTCCTTGTATGGTAATTTTTTACGGAGTGGTGTCTTTCCATTTCATGATGTATCATGTTGTGTGTGTGTGTATATATATATATATATTTGGGTCGAAAGGAGGCCAAGGCTCGGAGGTAGTACTAGATGTTGATGTTGGTTCAAAGGAAAGCAAGCCCATAAGAAGAAAAGAACGGTTGGAGATGAATACCCTTGGGCCCTTTCCTCAATAAAAAGAGATAAGCCCAATAACGATCGACAACAAAGCCCAATTACACTGCTCAGGAATGAAATTAAGGACCATAAATAAAAAAAAAAAAAAAGAAAAGAAGAAGAAACCCTATGGAGCCCAAAATGAGATGAAAAGATGGAAGGTGGATAAAGAGTTAAAATATTTTAAGTTTATAAAAGAATTAGTATTGAAGTGTGTAAAAACTAGTTTGAGAACATTTTTATTGTTGAACTAAAGAAAAAAAGAACAAAACCAGAAGATTACATACAAGGATACATTATCCAAAATATGATAGAGAGATCATAATGACTAAAATTTAGAAGTATAAAAATAGGATGTTATTTTTTACCTAAAGAAAGGAGCATCGTCCTTGACACTAGGGATATGTTGGTTAAGAAAAGCTGTCAAAGATATATATATTTCCATTTATTTTGATAATGAAGAATTTTGAAGGTATTTAATCAAAATGATCCTGCTAAAAATATTATAAAGTTAAGTTGTATGGGATATTTTAATAGTTCTCCTCAAATTTATTACTTAAATACCACTTATG